GCCTGGGCAACTTGGCGAGACCTCATCTCTACAATAAATCAAAAAATTAGCCGGGCATGGTAGCACACACCTGTAGTTAAAGCTACTTCAAAGGCTGAGATGGAAGAATCACCGGAGCACAGCAGGTCAAGGATGCAGTGGCCAGGCCACTGCACTTCAGTCTGGGCAACAGAGTGAGACTCTAACTCAAAAATAAAATAAAATAAAAGCACAAATACAGCTGGGCTCAGTGGCTCAGCCTGTAATCCCGCGCCTTTGGGAGGCTGAGGTGAGTGGATTGCCTGAGCCTGCGGGTTCGAGACCCGCCTGGGCAGGCAAGAACTCATCTCTACAATAAAAATCAAAAAATTAGCCGGGCGTGGTAGCACGCACCTGTAATTCCGGCTACTCGGAAGGCTGAGGCGGAAGGATTGCCGGAGCCCAGCAGGCAAGGCTGCAGTGGCCGGGAGCGGCCACTGCACTCCAGTCTGGGCGACAGAGTGAGACTCCAACTCAAAAAAAAAAGCACAAATACTACTTCCAAAGAGGCTTCTTAAAACTGAAATACTAGGCTGAGCATGATTTCTCATGCCTGCAATCTCAAACAGTGAGAAGCCAAGTTGGAGGACTGCTTGAGGTCAGGAGTTCGAGACCAGTCTGGACAACATAGTGAGACCTCATCTCTACAAAAAAATTATTTGAGTATGATGACACACGCTTGTAATCCCATCAATGAGTCATGATGGTACCATTGCACCCTGGTCTAGGTTATAGGATGAGACCTTGACTCTTAAAAAAAAGAAAACAAACAAAGCTGAAATACTTATTAGGAGAATCTAGCTCACTATGATTTTCAAACAAAACTAAGAAAACTTTTTTTTATTTTTTAAGAGACAGGGTCTCACTATATTACTCAGGCTGAACTAGAACTCCTGAACTCATGTAATCCTCCCACCTCAGGCTCCCAAGTAGCTGGGACTACAGGCACATATCACCATGTCCAGCTCCAAACCTGAGAAATCTTATACCACCCAAGGTACTATTAGCATTTCCTATATGTTGACATGCTATCAATCTAATGAGGATTTTTTAGGGAGAAATAATTTTTTAAAATTTCAAGAGAAAAAAAACTACGACACCTTAACGCTAACCCATTTAGGTTTTAGAAAAGCTAAAATGTGAAAGAAAGAAAAAAAGGTCAGGCATGGTGGCTCACACCTGTAATCCCAGCACTTTGGGAGGTAGAGGCTAGAGGACTGCCTGAGCCCAGGGCAACTTGGCGAGACCTTGTCTTGATAATAAAATGAAAAAATTAGCCGGGAGTGGTAGCATGCACCTGTAGTTCCAGCTCCTTGGAAGGCTGAGGCAGAAGAATCACCTGAGCCCAGTAGGTTGGGGCTGCGGTGCCTGTGAGCATGCCACTGCACTCCAGCCGAGGTGACAGAGTAAGACTCCAACTCAAAAAAAAAAAATGCAATATAAAAAAAATGCAAATAATCTTAGTCTTAACCCATGTTCACTAAAATTCATGCACAAGAACATTTAACACACACCTGTAGTCCCAGCTACTCAGGAGGCTGAGGTGGAAGGATCCTTTGAGCCTAGGAGTTTGAGACCAGCTTGGACAACATACCAAAACACATCCCAAAAAAAAAAGCACTATTCATAGAACTTCTATTTGTAATAGTTAAAAACTGGAAATAACCCAAAGGTCCACCTAGATTAAAAAGGTATACTGGTGCTAAATTAATAAAATAAAACACTACACAGTAATGAGAATAAACACACTACAACTATACACAATAGCATGGATAAATATCACACTCACACCTATAATCCTAGTGCTTTGGGAAGCAGAGGTAAGAGGAACACTCTGAGCCCAGGACTTTGAGACCAGCCTGAGCAACATAGTGAGATGCTATCTCTACATAAAAAAATGAAAAAAAGAAAAAAGAAAAAACAACCAGAGCATGATGGCACATGCCTGTAATTCTAGCTACTCTGAAGGCTGAGGCGGGACTAGAACCCAGAGTTCAACAACACTGCAAAGAGCCATGTTCACACCTCTGCACTCCAGCCTGGGCAACAGAGTAAAATATCCCATCTCTAAAGAAAAAAAAAATCCAAACACAAAAGAATGTGTTCTATATATTCCCATTTACATAAAGTTCAAAACAGGCAAAACTAACCTTTAATGTAAGAAATGAGGATAGTATTTAGCCTTGTGGGGAAACAGTTGTAAATGAAAGGAATTCGAAGACGATTCCAGGGAGCTGGTAACATTCTCTTCCTTAAACTGGATACTAGTTACATAAGTGTGTTCACTTTGTGAAAATCTGTCAAGGTATACACTTATGCTTTATGCACTGTTTGCTTGTTATACTTTAATAGAATTTATAAAAGTGGGAGGGAGGTGGGAAAATATGATAGTTACATACATTTAGTGTCTGCATCTTCCCATGATACAAAATCTAAATACCTGTAACTAGCTCGCTTTTTTTCTTTTTTTAAAAGAAATGAGGTCTCACTCTGTTGCCCAGGTTGGAGTACAGGGCACAATCATAGCTCACTGCAGATTTGAACTCCTGGGCTGAAGCAATCTTTCTGCCTCAGTCTTTGGAGTAGCTGGGGTTACAAGTATGCACCACTATAAGTATCTCTAATTAAAGTGTTACATGGCAAGGTAACACTGCCCCCAAAGGAAGACGCATTGGCTAGCAATCTAGAAATCTCACAAGACATAATTTCCTTGATGAATCTATAAACATCCAGGATCTACATTTTACTAATCTAGAATTTTATCTTGTCAGTGGTTCTTCACTGTATATTTTTACAGTTCCAGTCAATTCCATTACTTATTAAACCAGCCCATATGGGTGGTATTATTTCCAATTCTATTAAAAAACAAAAGCTCTATATAATAGGAGAAATTCCTCAATACAGAACTGCCCATGCAAAGAGCCCATGCATTGGTAATTTTATTTGCCTCCAAACTGCCTTCCAAAGAGATCATACCAATCTACAACCTCACCAGCAATGTATGCCTGTTTCCCCACAATCTTGCCAATAGTTTTATCAAACTTGAATTTTTGCTAATAACATTTCAGCATGGTTTTGTTTTGTATTTCTCCTGTTGTTAGACAGAACACCTTTTTTATTTCTATGAATGGACTCAGAAAATGAACAACATCAACCAGACTCAAGGAGATTGCTCTAAAAACTTTAGCAGGGTTTCATACCAATCTATTACATTTACAATCAGATCTACTGCATTCAGTATCAGAAATGTTCCCATTCACTAAATGGAAAACTTCATTAAGTGACTTTGTCTGTTTTCTTCACAGCTATAGCCCCCATTCTACAAGATGGCTCGCGCACAGCAGGTGATCAATAAACATTCACTGAATGAAAACATTTCCTAAGAGGACACACATCTTTTCTAACAACAAGGTACCTGGAAAGCCAAATTAATACCCAAAGCAGCCTGGTGATCACAGAATCACAAAAAAGAGCTTGAGAGAATTTATCCAAACATAAGGAAAATCTAAGAAAACACTCTTACTCTACAACAAAGCCAACCTCTGGAGGCCTCAGATCATTTTCATTTGCCAGATTCCTCCCTCATGTCAAATCAGCCTCAATTTGATTCCTCATTTTTCTTCCATACTTAACATCTCCTTTCAGTTAATATATTGTATTTAGATGAATTAATAATGTTACAATCAAGCAGAACTTTTTGTGCTGGGGTGAAGGATTTTTAATTAATCATATTTTAAAATGCTTTGCACATGCTTAATCTTATAAATAAGTTAATTTTTTCCATTATATTCAAGTATTTTAGAGGCACCCTATTGATCTCTATATATCACCTATTGCAAGTAAAAAAAAGTAGTGAAAGTATTGCAAAGAGAAATGACAAATAGAAGATTTCCACTGATTGAGCAAACGCTGCATATTACAAAAGTAAGAAACATTAAATTTCTCCCTTCAAAAGTTGTCTCACCTTTTCAATTTTCTCTTCTATATTACTTGGGTCATCATAGGGTTCCATTCTAGTAAAAGTTAAATAATCTAGTTAGTCATAACAAAACAGCATGGTAAAACATCCAAAGAGCTAACCGGCCTGCAAACTCACCCACTAACAACCACTCCAACTAAAAGCAAAATAAAATTTAATCTCAAAACAATAATTTATTAGAAGGGGAACTGGACTAGGAGTCATAACTATACTCTAGCCCTATCATCATCTAGTTACTGATGAATTTTTCTTCTTTTTTCTTGAGTTGGAGACTCACTCTGTCACCCAGGCTGGAATGCAGTGGCACGCTCATGGTCACCACAGCCTCAACCTGCTGGTTCAGGTGATCCTTCCACCTCAGCCATCTAAGTAGCTGGAACTACAGGAACACGCTACCACGTCCAGTTAAGTTGTTTTTTTTTTTTTTTTTGAGTTGGAGTCCCACTCTGTCACCCAGGCTGGAGTGCAGTGGCAAGCTCACAGCAACCCCAGCATCAACCTGCTGGACGCCAGCAATCCGTGCACCTCAGCCTTCCAAGTAGCTGGAACTACAAGCACATGCTACCATGACCGGTCGATTTTTATTTTTAATTTACTGTAGAGACTAAGTCTCGCCATGTTGTCCAAGATGTTCTTGAACCTGTGGGCTCAGGCAACCCTCTCACCTCAGCCTCCCAAAGTGCTGGGATTATAGGCATGAGCCACCGTGCCCAGCCTTTGCTATATTATTTTAATTAATGTTTTTGGGACTCTGTTTCCTCACTTGTAAATTCAAGAGTTAAACTAATACCCAAGGCAACTTTCAGTTCTAAAAGTCACTTACTCTTTTATTTGATTCTGTAGTCCTATACATTCGGATCTTGCATTTCGTACTTGCTTAACTAATAATCTACAAGAAAACACACATAATAACAACTATAATTCCATCACAACTAACTAGTATAGCCCACTTTGATATTTTCCCTTTTCATCTTTGCTCAAAGCCTCTGGGGACACCCAAATGCCAGGATTTCAAAGTAGATATGGATTATTTCTACTGATGTTATACACTGATATTTGTTCAAAAAGAAAAGAATTATTTTCTAACTATGAAAGTACTACTTACTGTGCATTTTCCTGATATTTTTTGATAACATAATCTTCTCTTTGCAAAATCTGTAAAAATCTATTACGTGCTACATGGCATCTGGCAATACACTTGTGCAAATCCTGTGGCTTTACATTAAATGTCTCTTTAGGAAATAGAGAAGAATCTACAAGGAACACAAATAAGATCATAGAAAACAGACTTACAAGCTAATATCAAAAATGTTGAATTCTAATTTTAAGAAATTAACATCATAAAACTAACCAATCCCTAAAAGCTAGTATGTCACACACACAAAATTATCCAACTAATGTTGATAAACACAGGATGACTTTTTTTAAAAGTAGACATATAGGCTGGGTGCAGTGGCTCACACCTGTAATTCCAGCACTTTGGGAGGCCAAAACAGGAGGAGGATAACTTGAGCTTAGGAGTTCAAACCAGCCTGGGCAACATAGCCAAGACCTCATTTCTACAAAAAAAAAAATTTTTTTTTTTGAGTTGGAATCTCACTCTGTCGCCTAGACTGGTGTGCAGTGGCTGCTCCTGGCCACCGCAGCCTCGACCTGCTAGGCTCCAGTGATCCTTCCGCCTCAGCCTTCCAAGTAACCGGAATTACAGGTATGCGCTACCACACCCGGCTGATTTTTTGATTTATTGTAGAGATGAGGTCTCGCTGCCCAGGCGGGTCTCGAACCCGCGGGCTCAGGCAGTCCGCTCACTCAGCCTCCCAAAGGCGCGGGATTACAGGCAGAGCCACCGAGCCCGGCTCAAAAAAATATTTTAAAAAATAGCTGATTTGATGGCATTCACCTGTAGTCCCAGGTTCTTAAGAGGTTGAGGTAGAAGGATTCCTTGAGCACCAGACTTCGAGACTGCAGTGTGCCATGACCATGCTACTGTATTCCAGCCTGGTCAAAAGAGTGAGACTACCCCCCTACTCAAGGAAAAAAGATAATTTTAAAAGGATATGTAAAGTTGAGCTGTATTATATAGTTTAAAACTTTCAGAATCCATCTACCTAAAATAATTCTTTTTTTTTGTAGAGATGAGGTCTCACTACAATACCCAGGCTGATCTCAAACTCCTGGGCCCAAGCGATCCTCCCACCTTGGCCTTCCAAAGTGTTAGGATTACAGGCGTGAGCCACCAAGTTCAGCAAATAATTCTTATTATAATCTGAGATATCCAAAAAGAACCACAATGTTGTAGATGAACTACTTTGCTTCCTAACAAAATTTTTTTTTTTTTTGAGTTGGAGTCTCACTCTGTCGCCCAGACTGTAGTGCAGTGGTCACTCCTGGCCACTGCAGCCTCGACCCACTGGGCTCCAGTGATCCTTCCGCCTCAGCCTTCCGAGTAGCCAGAATTACAGGC